CAGTTTATTCTTGAACAGTGTGAACAGAGGCAACAACCTTGTAGAATTATTTGTACTCAGCCAAGAAGACTGTCAGCTGTTTCAGTAGCTGAGAGAGTAGCATTTGAACGAGATGAAAAAATTGGTCAAACATTTGGTTATCAAGTAAGACTTGAAAGTAGAGTTGCTCCAAAAACTCTGTTAACATACTGTACGAATGGTGTACTCCTTAGAACTCTTATGTCAGGTGACTCTGCTCTTAGTACTGTCACACATGTTATTGTCGATGAAGTTCACGAACGTGATAGATTTTGTGACTTTCTTTTAATAGCATTAAAAGATGCATTACATAAACATAAATCTCTTAAACTCATACTTATGAGTGCCACGCTAGATGTTAACATCTTTGTAAAATATTTTAATAAATGTGCAGTTATAAATGTTTTGGGTAGATCATATGATGTTGACACATATTATCTTGAAGACATTTTGAAAATGACTGGTTATATGACAAAAGAAATGCTTGCAAAGAGAAAAGAATTTATGAATAAGAAAGATCAGCATAAAATTTTAGAATCTTGGACCCAGTATAAACCTCAACAATCAGGATCAAACACTATGAATGAGAGATGTGTACTATCTGCACCAATTTTAGTACAACAAAATAAAGTTGTTCCAGAAAAAGTAAAATTAGAACCATGGTTAGCAGAAGAAATGGATAAAATCATATCTGATGCATGGTTACATGGAGGAGAAGATAATTTTGCACAACTCTTATATTTCATACTTTCCGAAAATGTTTCTGTAGATTATCAACATTCCATAACATTTGTAACACCACTTATGGTGGCTGCAGGTAAAGGATGTATAAATACTACAGAACAACTGTTAAATTTAGGTGCAAATTTAAATCTACGAGCAGCCAATGAATGGACTGCATTAGATTGGGCAAAAAATATGAATCAAACTGAATGTGCTGAGTTAATAGAAGCATACATGAAAACTTATGATTGTGCAGTACATAATGAAACAAAAGTACATGCTAAAGATGTTTCACTTTCAGAAGAAGATAAATTTTTATTAGATGTGTATCAACATACATTTAATGATGATAAAATTAATTATAATCTTCTTTTACAATTAATTTTACATATCCACTTAAAAATGCCTCCTGGTTCCCTTTTAGTATTCTTACCTGGATATGATGATATTGTAACTATGAGAGAAAAAATAAATAATGAAGAAAAAGAAATGAATAAGGCTTTACGCTATAATTTGTATGTGCTTCATTCAAATATGCAAACATGTGATCAAAAGAAAGTATTTAAGCCAAGTCCTGTAGGAACTCGAAAAATTATTCTTGCAACAAATATAGCTGAAACAAGTATTACAATTGATGATGTTGTGTATGTCATTGATTCAGGAAAAGTTAAAGAAAAATCATTTGATGCATTATTGGGAGTATGTGTTCTTAAATCAAATTGGATTTCCCAAGCTTGTGCAAAACAACGTAAAGGTAGAGCTGGAAGATGTAGGAAAGGCATTTGTTATCGCTTATTTTCTACAGTTCGATATAACAACATGGAGGCTTATCAAACTCCTGAAATTTTAAGATCACCACTGCAAGAACTATGTTTGTATACAAAACATTTAGCTCCAGGAAATACACCTATTGCGGAATTCTTGGATCGAGCATTGGAACCACCTTCTAATGCAATAACAAGAAATGCAGTTCAATTATTAAAAACTATTGATGCATTAGACCCGTGGGAAGATCTCACTGAATTAGGGAGTCATTTGCTTGATTTACCGATTGAACCGCGACTTGGAAAAATGTTATTGTATGCTGTTGTATTGAAATGCTTAGATCCAGTTTTAACTATCGTATGTAGTTTGGCATACAAGTAAGTAAAAGTTCTTAGCATGTTAAACATATACGTAAATGAGAACGATCTTTAAAAAATTAACTTATAGGGATCCCTTTGTGTTACCGTTGGAACCGTCACAAAAACGAGCCGCAACTGCAGCTCGTAAAAGATTTGCGACTAATACATATTCTGATCATATGGCAGTTTTACGTGCTTTTCAAGGTTGGCAAAATGCTCGTGCAAGTGGCAAAGAACGCACATTTTGCGAACAAAATTTTATTTCTGCTGCTGTAATGGAAATGGTGGTTGGTATGCGTACACAACTTCTTGGTCAACTTCGTGCATCTGGATTTGTTAGAGCAAGGGGACCAGGAGATATTAGAGACTTGAATTCTAATTCTGAAAACTGGGCAGTAATAAAAGCTGCTTTGACTGCTGGTTTATATCCAAACCTAATAAGAGTAGACAGAGAACATTCACAACTAAGGACACAGTGTGTTACTTCTTTAATATTTTCTACATTATATTCTTGTATAATAGAGTATTTATTTACATGTTTGACAATTAATTTTATAGGAAAGAAGTGAAAGTACTTTTCCATCCCTCTTCAACTTTAAAAGACTATCCCAAGTCACCAAGAATGACATCTTCTCAAACATATGCGACCAATGTAGAAGTTTTACCCTGTGATTGGTTACTGTATGAAGAAATGAATCGTACCGGACGATTTTGCCATGTTAAAATGGTCACTTTAGTTAATTCATTAACAATAGCTTTGTTCTGTGGACCAGCTAGATTATCTGTAGATGTAATTTATGAAGCTGAGTGTAAGTATTATCTTACTATTTAATATGTTATGTATTTTAACATTATTTAAATAACATAATTTTATGACTTTTTGTTATTTATAGCTGTACCTGAAAGTGAATCAGATTCTGAAGTTGATGAAAATAACGAAGGAACGATTTTTAAACTTGATGATTGGGTAGTATTTAAACTTGATCCAGAAACTGTCAGATTCTTTTTACATTTAAGACAAAAATGGAATGCTTTGTTTTTGAGACGTATGAAGACACCAAACAGAGCTATGTCACAGCATGATGAGAAGGTAGTAAGTACACTAGTAAGTGTAATTACAAATGAGGAACAAGTATGCGGATTACAACAACCATCTGGTATCGGTCAAAGACCGCGCCCTTTAATTGTTGATTATTATCCTGCCAATGTTAAGACGATTTTGTAGAGGTAATTTCTGAAAATTTTAATATCAGCTAAAGAATAATATTTTACTTTTCTTTGTAGCTATATTTTAATGTAAAATTTTTCTTATTTTAGAGGAATTTTTAAAATTGAATGGATAAAAAGTATTTTATTAATTCTAAACTATAAGAGATATTTTATTCTCTTGGTTCCTATGTATGATTAATTGCAAACAAGCAATGAGATTTCTGTATTTATATAAATTTAATGAAAATTGATTAATTTTTTTTGATGTAGACACAGTACAAAAAAAAGAAAGATATTGAAAAAAGAAAGGATCATAGCATAATTGTAGTTTCATTAAAAGGCTCAGTATTAATAAAATTAGTATCTTTTCTTTTTAGGTGGAAAATTTAAAAATAATAAAAATATTTCATTTAATCGCGCTATATATCCCTTATACATATTTCGTATTTATTTACTGCTTACTTCTTTCTAATCATTTAAAATTTATATTAAACGAATAACAATTTTTTCATAGAATTGTACAAGAACCTTTGTTTATATAAATTATGTTATACAGTATTGCTGAATAACATCAAGTAATGTTAGACAACAAGATTAGATGTTAGACAACTCTATGACTTATCATTAGATCTAGTTTATTATAAAAATGCTGTTTTTCTGAAATTGCTTTACATTTCCATTTTATTGCCTAAATAGTATAGAATGACAGCGTGTAGGAATCAAAGTAGATCTTTGTACTTTTCAATGTGATATATAGTATAGGTATCAATCTTAAGTAACTTATTTACATTTTATGCTGTGTAATAAAGTATTTAACATTACAATTTACTATACAAAATAATTGTACTTAAAAGAAACACTAAATTGCAAGTATGTAAATAAATAATATAAATTTGAAGATAAAGGATATAAAGTGCAATTTAATATTTTTAATATTATAAATATAATTTACCACAATTTCTAAACTCTGAATTACTACGATTATTTTAGTCATTTGATGCATTGATATTTTATAAACACTTTTATTTGAAGGTCATTGTTTAGAAGTGTTTAGTATTAAATACAAAATTTATTTATATTTATATTATTCTGGGAGTGATAAACTACAGAAAGACTGTTTATTTTGTATATGATGATTTAATTTATGAAGCTAATCATAAAACGTTTGAGCAGCAATAAGATATATGTTGATGTAAACATAATCTTTAGAATTATTGTAATATTTCTTGACATGGTAATAAAAATATTATATCATAATCTATAAATGTGACTTTATTTCTTATTTACTATACTATATATTTTTAAATAATACCTAAATATATAATAATTATGAAATTATTAACTATTGAAAGATGAAGTCATATAAAAAACATTTGAAAGTGATTTATTTATAAGAAATTAGAGATTCATTATTTGTTAATCTACATTGTGTAATGTTTTTCCACTTCGTGACTCAAAAAAATTAAAAATCAATAACTAAATAATTGTCGTCATTTTCAATTATTAAAGGCATTATTTTGTAAAATTACAAATTAGAATATGTGTTAAAAAATATTTACCAATTGAATGCGCTTAAGTAATGATTAATGCACGATTTTTCCTAGTGTATTGCAAACTGTTAGAAACTTATTTATAATATAATCTATAGTAATCGTACACCAAAATATATAAATTCTTTATTTATTTTAAATATACTTTATAATAGACAAAATATTGATGGCCGAATAATATGAAATATTTTATTATTCCTATCTTTGTTGGTTAACCTACACTGAACTTTGATCATAATGTGTAATTCATTCGTCGTAATCAGTCGTAATATTTCATTTTAGTAAAGTATATTATATACGTATCTATTTTTGAAGAAAAATATATTTTTCTTCTAATTTTTATTTTTAATTATAATAAAAATTTAATTAAGATAAAATGTTATATAGTTTTTCTGATTTTTATCGTGTGTTAACAACTAATAACATTTTAATGAAGACGAAAGTACCTAATTTCTATCTTCCAGTATTTAAACGGTGTAAATCAGGTAAAAAAAATAAAAATAGACTACTTATTTAAAGATGTCGCGATATCAATTTAGTTTTATTATTATGTTCTTATTTTAGATAAAGTGACTGTTACCATTGGTGATGTTTCAAAACAAGTAAAACCACCACAAAAACCTGAATATGTACCAAGAAAGTATTGTGAGTTCTTTTTTCATATTGGTTCTTTTATTTTTTAAGGACAAGAATACAATAATCATTTTTATGAAAATAGCATTAAATATATCAACTCAAGAAATAGATAGAACTACCTCAAAACATTTAAAATGGATGCTTCAGAAGGATATTTTATCACAAGACATCTTTTTACTTGGTGGGCCAGGCCCTAGACGCAGAAAATTAGCTCTAACTTTTCTTGAATTAACAGAACGTGAAGTAGAATTTATTGCACTATCAAGGGATACAACAGAAGCAGATTTGAAACAACGAAGAGAAATACAAAGTCGTACTGCCTATTATCACGATCAAAGTGCTGTGAGAGCTGCAATAAATGGGAGAGTCCTCATCATTGAAGGTGTTGAAAAAGCTGAAAGAAATGTACTGCCTGTTTTGAATAATTTGTTGGAAAATCGTGAAATGCATTTAGAAGATGGAAGATTTCTTATTCCTGCAACACGTTATGATAAATTACTTGAGGTATGCAAATGTGTAATGACTTGCTATTATTAATTAATTGATTTAATAATTTGTTATTATATAATATTCTATTCATTTTTTTAGACGTTCAGTCAAGAAAAATTGGATGCTTGGAAGCTTGTTAGAGTTAGTGAAGATTTCAGAGTTATTGCATTGGGTATGCCAGCACCAAGGTACCCTGGTCATCCACTTGATCCTCCTCTTAGGTCTAGATTTCAAGCTAGACATATTGCACCTCTAAGTTTTGAAGTAAGTATTTTTAAAGGATAAATTAAATCATATAAAAATTTATGAAATTTATACAATAGCTCCAGCTTAAAATAGTTTTACATATGTTAAAAAATTATGTAAACTATTATCGACTAATCGTATTATCGTATACTTTATATTTACTTTCTTGAAATTCAAAACAAATTTCATTTTTTTTATTTATTTCGTTTTTTTTTTGAATAATCTAAAATATACTTGCAAAGTAAATTTAGTAATAATAATATAGTATTTTTACCATTTTAAAAGGAACTCATAAGTATTATCATTTTTTATCATTGCAAAATTGTACGAGTATTTTTACTTTACATTCTGCTACTTCATCTGCTACTTGCATATTAAAGAAGCGTAATAAATACATTATACAACACAGCATACAAAGATTCTTCATTAAGTTGTTTATTCAATAAAATCATTGAAAATTATTATTTTTCAATGACACTTTCCAAGTAATAATGTATATATAGCCCACGAGCAATATGGATATTTCTAAGTCCGTAAGTTATAAGTTCCGTGTGACAATGCTCGGTAATTACTGGCGCGACTCGGAGGAGATCGTGGCGCGTGTAATTTGCTAAAGTTTTACCTGATTTATGTAGCGACGTATTGTTAGGTATGGGGTGCGGTGATCGTACAAACCCCTCCAGTCAGCCATCCCTTCCGGTGCCGGTTTCCTTCCTATATAAACCGTTTGTAGCTGCGCTATGGTCACAGTCATCGCAGTTTGGATCGCGTGTCGTGAGAACAGTGGAACCTTGTTTGTCCTCCTGTTCAACTGGGAGTCAATACGTCGGAATTTGGTCGAATGAGAAGTTCGATACACGGTGTCACCGAATGTACGCAGAATTACGGACAACCAAAATTTATGCTGAAAAAACACAATAATGATACAAAAGGCTATAAGAAATTATAAGAATGAAAAATATAACCAAAGAAGCTATTTATTAAAATACTATCATTAATATTATCATATTTTTCAAAGAAAATTGAAATTTATTAATATTTCTTTCCTATATGTATTGGCAATTTAATAAGTTAATAAGCAATTAATAATTGAGCAATGCCAGCCATATGGTCGTCATCAGAAAGACCAATATCCGTTCGTACTGTCTGGGTGGATGGTATTCGACACGCGATCTTATCGCCCGATGATCCATTGATCCATTCTAAATCACGTCGTCGTTCCCGTGTATCAAGAAATAAAAGTTACTCAACGGAGTATCAACAGTTGGAATCGAGACTGGATCGACTGAATAGTTGTTTCACAAACTTGCAGATGGTAGTTAGCAATACTCTTACAGACACCAAAACATCTTCTCAGATGTACCGAAAACTATCCGCACCTCCTTGTTCCAGAATGTCAACTAGTACATCTGACACTAGTATCTTAGAGTCTCTCTTAAATGACAACAGAAAAATGAAGAAAAAGTACAGTTGTCATAAAGGCGTGAAGGAAGATACAGACTTTTTCACGGACAAGCGAGTTTTAAAAAATGATATATGTGGAAAGAGAACCTCAGAGTCGGAGCCGGATTTTACATTGGATGTAACGGGATGCAGACAAACAGAGGGTACATCTGATACTTTTTGGAATCCATTGTTTGAAAGGGTTCTCCAATGGTTGGATATGTCTGGAAGAACGCAAAGCTTCAAGAATGACTATGAAGATCATTTTGTAGAGGGATCACTCGATGAAGAGGGACAAAAATGGAGTCCTACCAAGACAAGGCTTCCTCGGTTGAAGCGGGATTTTTTCAATACTAGGGAACGAATAACGATAAGAAATTATAAATTGCATAAAGAACGCAATTCGGAACGCATCAAAGGAGAAGAAAATAAAATAATGCGAAATCGGTTACCTAAGATAAGGAGTACGAGGGAACAGTTTCAGGAACTTAATGAAACATTAAATAGTACAAAGACACCTTCAAAATCTGGTGAAGAAGAATTGAAACACGAGGTTAAAGGAAAAGACTCATCAACGATATGGTGTCCTCCTGGCCGATTAAAAATACATATAGTAATGCCGAGTCTTATATACAAAGAAAATCATAAGTCTTCGCAAGAATCTTTAGTAGATGACTAAAAATAATATTCATTCATATTGATACATACATATTAGCTTTTAGCATTTACATCAAATCTCTTTAACATCTTATATATATTGTCTTTTAAAACGCCGATGAAAATTATTTTCCGCAGCAAGATCTAACTTCTAACTAAAATTTTAAAAATCTATATAGCTTGATCGACTCTTTAAATATTTATCATGAATGATAAAACGTAGTGTTTCTAGTGATAGAAATTATGAACAGTAATATACGCTTCCTAAATCATCTAAAGGTAATTATCTATTATTTATATACGCATATTTATTTAATTATCTTCAACGCTAGAATTACTAAACTAAAAACTGACTGATTTAAAATTTTATATTTTTACAATTACTGAAAAATGTGCAATTGCTTTTGACAAAATTAATATTGACTTGTATTCGGCTAAAAACGTAACTACATATACTCAATTATTTTTAACATAACGTTATAATTATTATTATTTATCTAACTAATATTTCAGTACTTTTAGTTAATATAAAAAGCTTGTTTTTTATTCTTTTCCATAAAGATTTGTTTCGTATTAATTTGTCCGATAGTAATATATTAACTCGTTACTTCGATTGCCCACCATACAATATAATCAATTTCCAACTGTTAATTAATCCATATTACTATATACACGTTAATTCGATGATTCGTGAAAATGCGTTATCTCATTTGTTTACCAGTACTTCGTATACGTATGTATAATGTGTGCGTTTTACTTGCAAATATGTAAATATCTTGAAAAATATAGGTCATACAAAAAAATATTTCAGATAAATATGGTAGCATGTTTAAGAAGGCATATCAGATGACATTTATTTGATCTTGAAATAACCTGGAAAATTTAAACAGGTAGTTTTTGTTACAAATATTTTGATGTCAATTTAAGAATATCTAATGAAAAATATAGATTGCTATTTTAAAATTTCTGTCGCAATATAGAATAAATATTATTATTATTAAATATCTACCTTAATATCTTACAATATTTGTTTGAATTATTTTTTCCTATCGTCTTTCTTATTTTCCGAGATATTTATACATTTCCAGATAAAACGAACACACTGTACATTCCTGTGCACTCTCCGGCCTCTCATCCTCGTTCGCGGCTTTTCAGTGAAATTCAATACGTCGTAATAAATCCCATTTTATCGAGAGTCAATTCGACACCCATTATTCTGCGTGTGAAGAAGCAGTGGAAATGGTGCCGGCACGAGACGTCGCGACCAACGGACTTTACACGCTTTTGAGTCGTTTCTATCTGCAAATTGAACAAAGTAAATAATATCCGTGACAAAGGTTACTTAAAAAGTCAAATATAATTACGGGGTATTTAAACGACTTTACGGCGGTTTTCAGTGATGAAACGACAGAGCTTCCAATAATATCATGCGGGATTTCATGTCACGCAGCGTTATTTACAAAGCAATAAGTTTTACACTTATGAGTTTTCGTTTGTCCTTTAAAACATATATGATACGTTTCAAAATAGTTCACTTGATTTATAGTTTGAAGTTAGCTTGTTATGAATTACGATTACTCGAATTAATATGGCGCCAATTTTAAACCGTTTATGCATAGAATTTTGTTTGAAGAGAACAATGGTACTATATAATTTACACGTTTGTAATAATCTGTAATAGAATCGAATGCTTTATGTGGTCAAAGCAAAGGGCTATTTGTCAAGGTGTAATGGTACTTGATTCATGAACTCGGGAGTGCACTGAACTTCGATGATTCATTGGATACTGTAAATCGCGTGTTTGCAGCTTCGAACAAGGCATTGATATCGTAATCGTCCGGTATGGTTAGTGCAGTTTGCGAAAGTTTGTCACATAAAGACGTGTACCGTTATTTACGAGGAACGTGTAGTGTCGATCTTATCTTAGGATATTACTTTTATAAGAAAGTTTGCAATTATTGAACACTGCAGCAATTCTCTTAAATTGCATTTGTTTCACGAGTTATTAGAAGTGACATCAAACGCTAAGTCGTAACCTAATTTAACATGCAACCTAACTATACCTCTATGTCATTAATATAAAGTTTAAGTTTCATTGAAAGAGACAAAAAGATCTTAATGAACGCATGTTCAGTAACTATTCGTTGCAGACGTCCAGCTTTTTCATTTGCAAAGGAATTACGCTCTGTACATTTACAAGTACCATGAAGACAGTGATTAATGGTTATAGAATGACTGCTTTCTCGTGGATCACTTCTATTTACTTTCTCGACAAAACTAAAGGCAAATTTCTATACTACTTATTTATCAAAAACAATCATTTTTTACGTTTATTTATTAAATGTTTTTCTGTTTCAGGCAACAAACATTCTTAATTGTAAAATTTGCCCATAATCTATTTGACTATAGTAATATAATATACTGTGATATAGTTAAATATAATATAAACTAATATAACTAACTTATAGTTTATACGTCGTAACTTTTTGACACGTAATTGCATAAATTCTATATTTTTTATGTACAATTTTTTGTCTCCATTTGAACAGAAGCAGGAATAAGAAAGATTCGATCAAAGTTGAATTGAAATCCGAAAGTTTCTCCTTTTTAGGAATCTATTTCGGGGATGGGTAAGGGAATCGTATATTCCCGGAAACCGCGATAATCGCGCCGATAGGTCTGAGAATGTAGCTCAATTGAAACTTTTCGATGTAAATCTGTAAGCTATCTAGGGGTTTCGTGCCGAGTGGTAGTTATTATCGTACTTGGCGCGCGTTGAAAAGCTCTCTTGGTGCTAATCACTCGCGTGGACTATTTCAAACGAATTGTGGTGATACGTGATTTTCGAGCAAACGGAAACAATGCGAATACCTCGCGGAGGTAATGCAGTCGTAACTTTGCTTGCTATGGGGCATTCGAAGGAGCGAGAATTATTAACTTCTGTTCGCGAATTAAAAGCGTCGCAAGCAACGTGTTTCGCATACTAGACATCGGAACGCGTGAATAATCAGGAAAAATTGTATCTATTAATTCAATGAAAACTTGATAATAATTTTTGCGAATAACTTTTTTTTTTGCAGGAATGTATTATTTGATTATTTTTGCATATTAAAATTCTAAGCAATTTGTTTCGTATACTCGATATGGAAATTCAAGAAAGTCAGAAAAAGTTTTATTATGTCGTTTAGACGAAATATTTAATTTAAATATTAGACGGAGATATTTGTTAATGAAATTTATTATTTAAAGTTGATCGATTTTTATGAAAATTATTTCTTTACAGATATATATCTTATTTTCTCATTTTTGCGATTTTTAGGAACAGCTGAATGCATTAAGAAATTTCATCCCGCACATTGACACTGCGAAATTAACTCAACTATTATCATGCTCGCACGCTTTTGTTACGAAAGAGGCAGTGTCCTTAGGTCTTCCGGATTTTCCCCTAGATAATTTGTTTCTGGCTGCTCTTATATTGGTAAATACCATTTTATTTTGAATTCCGATCTGTTTCACGAATTATTTGTTAATTTGGGTGTAACCGCAGGATAAATGCCCCTACTTGCCGGTGTTCGAGGTATTTTACAGCTGCTATCCATATAAATTGTTTTTGGCGCATCAGGCACAAAGTGTCGTCGAAGAAATGCTTAACACCTTCAATATCGCGGAAACAGAGATAAACGATGTTAAGATTTTAAAACATATAAATGTGAGTAGGACAGATGGAACGCAAAATTCGATGAATGTTAATATAGAGCATCCTTATGGAGAATCAACATTGAATGTGAGTAGGTCATATAATGAAGAAAGAAAGAAACTGATGAATTTGGATCTTATCTTATTACAATAATACATTCTTTATTAGGTTTCTTGTGGTACCAAAAAGGTAAAGGAAAATGCAATAAAAAATAAATACATAGAGACAAAGTATCAAAATAATTTATTGGCAAGTATGTTGGAATCGCATATTGTTTCTGACTTCTGTTTGATCGGTCCAAAAGGGTGTGGGAAATCTATCATTGTACAAACGTTAGCTGATTTATTGGGATACGAAGTAGAGACTGTAGTACTGTATCAGGCAAGTGTCATATATATTCGTATTTATTTCTAAATTAATTTTATATAAACTGAAAATTATTCATACCGATGGAAGTAATAGTTTATTTGAAACAACGGAAATATCTTCTTAGGATATGACATCCAGGGATTTGATACAGCAACGATCGACGTTGTCCAATGGGGATACGGTTTGGAAAAATTCACCACTCGTTGACGCAGCATTACAAGGAAAATTGGCTATATTGGATGGAATTAATAGAATCGATCCTAGTACTTTGGCTATATTGCACAGGTACATCAGAAATTCCTTGGAAACCTCTAAAAGTTGAATATCGATGATGTGATTATTTATTTTTAGATTAGTTCACGATCGAGAGTTACAGTTGCACGATGGCAAAAGATTGTTGAGGCCGGATCGTTATGACGAGATAAAAGAGAGATATAATAAATCCGACGCAGAACTGGAGGCATCGGGTGTACTACGTATTCATCCGTCCTTTAGAGTCATAGCTTTAGCGGAATCATCCGCCATTAATACAACATCGAAACAATGGTTGACCTCAGAATTACTTAGTTTGTTCCTTTTCCATGAAATGAGACCGCTTACTAAATCGGAAGAATTCCATATTATTCAATCGAAGGTGTTTCTTCTTATTTTTAAACATTTCTTTTAACATTTTATGCGAACATAGCTTTACATACTAAGTGGTGTCTTATGTTGTTTTAGTACGGAGAACCTTCCAGATCGTTATTAAACATTCTAGAGTTGGCTCACGTATTGCGATCCTCTAGCGATCCAACTTTACAGTCCTTGGCTAGTTCTCTTAGTACGAGACAACTTTTGAGGATAGCGGAAAGGATGAAGAAATTTCAAACGGAAGATAGTTACAACGCAGTGCAACGTGCTTGCTTGTCCCGTTTCTTGCCAGCAATAACGAAACAAGCGTTAATAGACTGCTGTAAACGTGTAAATATTGTTCCAACAAATAGTACAGTGGACAAGGACATTAAATGTGAAATTATTGGAAATACCGTCCAAATTGGTGATACGGTTGTAGAACGATATAACACTACAGCTTTAACGAAAGTACCTGATGTTTTGTTTTATGACGTGCCGCAACATGTTGCGCTATTAGAGAATTTAGTACAAGACTTTAGTTTAGGACAAAATCTGTTATTGGTTGGAAACCAAGGAGTTGGCAAAAATAAAATTGTCGATCGACTGTTGCAACTTCTAAATAGGCCACGTGAATACATACAGTTACACAGAGACACCACTGTTCAAACTTTGACCCTCCAACCGATGGTTAGGGATGGGAAAGTGGTGTACGAAGACTCGCCGCTCGTGCAAGCTGTTAAATTGGGACACGTGCTTGTCGTTGATGAGGCGGACAAAGCACCAACCCATGTTACTTGTATTTTAAAGGTATGTACACGTAAATATTTTTATCATTGAATAGATTTGCATTGACAGTCCATTTAGAGAGGCTGCCTAATTGACAATTTATTTGAATGTATCTCTAAATGTTATTTTGTGTTGTGATTTCAGACTTTAGTCGAATCTGGCGAAATGATATTATCAGATGGCAGACGTATAGTGTCTTCTTTAAGTTCTGACGTAGAAAATTCGAATAAAATACTGCTTCATCCAGATTTTAAGATGATAGTATTAGCAAATAGACCCGGTTTTCCATTTTTGGGGAATGATTTCTTTGGAGCACTGGGTGATCTATTTAGTACACATACGGTCGATAATCCAAGTATTGAAAATGAAATTCAACTTTTAAGACAATATGGTCCTAATGTAGACCAAAAAATAATACTTAAGCTAGTGAAAGCTTTTGGCAAATTACGAAATATGGCTGATCAAGGATTAGTTTCATATCCATATTCAACTCGAGAAGTTGTTAACATAGTAAAACATTTAGAAGTGAGTTGTGATCATTTAATTTCCTATTTAATCTGTGATGTTTTATTCATTCGTCATGTATTGTATTTATTTTTTTCAGAAATTCCCTCAAGAGCCGTTAGGTAATGTGGTACGAAATGTATTCGATTTTGATCAATATAGCGAAGAAGTCTTTAATACCTTAGTATCTGTGTTACATGAACATGGGATTCCCATTGGAACAAGTTCTACTAGCGTCTCCTTAG